TAGATCAAACTTAATTTTTTTTCAATTTATAGTCTAATAAAGAAATAAAGTTTTAAATATAACTAAATTTGATTGAATGTTTATTAAAATATTCATTATTCTAGTTGTTGTTGCTAATCTGTCATAACAGTCCTTAAATTTAGAGCACGTCCAATATAAAAGTATAAATCATTATTTACTATATAAACATAACTTACTAAAAACGTTTTTTAAAGAAGATACAATTAAATGAACACAACATTAAGTTGTTGTATATTRGTTGCTTCCATTTAACACTTTCTAACAAAATGTATCTTTTAATCTAGATTTTAAATTTCAGATCTTCATGTTAGTGGGTTAGGATGAATTTGTGTTAAACTGTTATATTCAATTCTAACTACTGAAACATAGACAAAATAAATCTAATCCTTACTTTCAATATGTTMAATTTAGCATTAATATTTGTTCTTAAATTTATTTTGGCAATATTTGTTAATTTTATAGCCGGACAATATAATGGAAAAACTCAAAGATTATATTACTCCTAATTTTTATTCAAAYATTGATGTATTTGAAAAATGTTTAGAAGATGAACCATCGTTTAAGCCCTTTGGAAATCAGCTCGATCAATTTATTTTAAGTAAAATGAATTTACATTCTTATTTAGATTAACTTTTATATTAAAATTTTTAACTGTGGTTATAGACCATATTGAAGAAAACAAGAAATTTGAAGTTTATGTGATTGAAGATGAAAACACAGAGTTTAAAGAATATTTTAATCAACTGCAGACATTTGTTTTATGGTATATAGATTCATCAAATATCATTGATTTTGATGATTCTAAATGGAAGATATTTATCATGTAAGATGTAATTTTATATTATGTACTTATTTTATTTGTTGTATTGGAATGGTTAAAGTTACTTTCATAGCTTTGTTATGTTTCGTATTGATTACATTGCATCGTGACTGTACCTACTTTTTTTAGTATCATGTAATAACCAAATTGCAAATAAGTATTCCAAGAATTGACTACTGCTCAACTTTTAAACCAATAGGGTTAGCAGTTGTAACCATATTTACCACGCCTTCAAATGATACGACATGTGACATAGTTATGAATCTGGCTTAAAGGCATATGAACACACAACAAAATAATAATATTAAATTCTAAATCTTTATAATCTAAACTATTGAAATCGATTTTGTAAAAATCCAATCTATAAAAAATTATTGCTTTAAGAGATGTTGGGATATCTAGAATAACTGTGTGACGTAATTGGGCCAGGCTTGGTATAATCGCCTTCCGTATGTACATAAAAATTGGTTATTTATACAATAATTTACCTAAACATTTTATTTGTGATTTTTGA